TTTTTTTTTTTTTTTTTTTTTTTTTTTTTTTTTTTTTGTGCGTGTGTCTGAGCTATGGTTTTGTTAAGTGTCTTTTGTTAAGCAATTCCCTGGTGTCTGTTAGAGACTTCCCCCCAACCCCCCGGGTATTTACAGTGACTATTAAAATCGGGAAAGATTTAAAAGGCAAATGGCATCTAGTTATTCACTTACCTTTTTCAAAAGCAGATTCTTAATAGTTCATATATTCAGAGATATGTTGCAATAGTTTAAGAAGATATTTGTGCCTAGGTAATGGTGATGTTTTTCACATTACTCGTAAAACGTTTTGGTTACGTTGTTCAGCACATTCAGGTGTTACAGGTACTCATGGAAGGGTGTTTCTCCAGTCACAAAGGTTAATTCTTATGTTTGGATTTGTCTTTGTGCCTGAGAAGGACAGCTCAGATTCCACAATTAGAATTATTATCCCTCTTTTCTTGTCACGTATTTAAGCTTTAAGATGTGAAAACACTTAAAACACTATCCTGTATAATTTTTAAAAACAATTGATATAACTAAGTTATGCCAAACATGGCATTTATCAAACTCAGTGTAAGGTTTGATTTGAATCAGTTTGCATTTTTGTACCCATTTTTTAAAAAATCAACATTTTAAATGAGACAAATTCTTTGTCACTCAGAAAAGAAGTGAGGTTGTTAGAGGACTTTGTAAAATCATTTTGGCCATTTGTATATTCATTTGTTTCTTTTAATTAGTCACTAGAAATGTCCCTATTGGGTTCTTGTCATTTTTGTAGATCATTTAAATCCGTGTTATGGACAGGTACCAAAAGAAAAATCTTTTAAAATTATGTGCAAACTAATACTGTTTTTATTCCACTGATCCCCTGCCTTTCTAGTATTTTGAGCCACCTTTGAAGCAGTCATTTCCTTGAATGTTAGAGGTGTAAGGGATCTTAGTATTATCTGTTTTAACTCTTATTAGGCCTACCACCACCTGTTTCCCGCCTATTTGGCTGATATTACATAAAATCAATAAACCAAATCAAATTAGTACATTATTGTTGCATTAAATGCTGTGTCAGTGACCTAATTTATGGCCTGAAGGAAGTGATTTAATAGCAGAAAGCCGTAAGGCTAGGTGTGCTGTTTAATCTTTATGAGTGGGAATTTGCAGTAGGGATGTGTTCTTT